ATTTTTCCTACGATACAAGAGGTAGTCTGTGTGTGTGGTGGGGGGGGGGGGGCACACTCTTGCTCTCTCCCTATATATATACATTTACAAAATATACATGCATACATACATTCAAACATGCATACATACATATATACATACATACATATACAGGTACGCTCAATAAGTAATGACTTTTTTTTGTTGAAATATCAAATGTTTTTTTTTTTCAATTCGAATACCAGTTCATGGTGCACCAGATCTACATTTGACCAAACTGAATAGCAAATATCAGCTTCTTATCTGCCTAGGTTTGAGAACTACAATGCATGCGCCGGAGCAAGTCATATCCTCTTTGCCGGTATGCCAACGCCTGCCGACGTGAAGGTAACATTAAACAATGCCATTCACAATCTGTTTTGTGTTGAATTTGAGGAAACCCAAAAGTTTATGAAGTTTATGAATTGTTGAAGAAGACCTATTGACAAGAGCTGATGAGCAAAGTGAATTTCTTTATGTGACTCAAAGATCGGGTTGAGTAGGAGCACAAATCAGAAACACCATGTGAAGGTTAGTTATGCAAAATCATCGATCCACTCTAACCGTGTTATTTGAGGCTGTTAGTATCAGCACTGGTACAATCAAGACAATCCTGAAGGAAGATCTGAAGCTCTACAAAGTTTGTGTCAATTTGTGTCCAAGATCCTCTCAAACCACCAGGTATAGAGACTTGCAGTGATATTCTGAATACAGTAGCGACACGCTACGAGGGTTGGGTATTCACCTACGACACTGATAGGAGGTCTTCCACGAAGAGGATAGACGCCTGCGCAAGTGTGTTGAAGTTGATCAAGTTTTGTAAATTTCTAAAATTAGATAAGGCCTCTCTCAATATTTTCTCATTACTTATTGACCATACCTCGTATACACACACACATACGCAAATATAAACTTGAACGAAGAAAGATTATTGATTTACACACACGGCAACTTTTGGTTAATTTAATGACAGAAAATTCATGAAAAAAACATACTACGATTATTGCAAATGCATTCATCACTGGACAATTTCCACCAATTATCTCGTTTCCTTTATATTTATCAGATAACATATGAAGTATAAAAAGATCGACTAGTAATGCATACACCTGCGTAAAGATCAACCGTATCTTCCTTTTAGACCAACTACAGGTAGCTCTTTTGATTATATAGTCCTCTATTAAAATGTTTCCTGGGTGACTTTAGGAAGTAGAATATAAATTTATGTTTGTTTAATACCTTGTACACTAAGATATTGTGGTGTTTTTTTTCTTTCTTTTTAGGGAAGAGAGATAAGAAGTTTTACATTTCATTATTAATTTTCTAAAGAGGTTGAATATACAGTTTGATGGTCTTTTTATCTTTATGAAGGTTGCGAAGGACCGAATATGGAAATATTTCCTTTTTTTTGTTAGAGTTGGAACTTTACCTCTCATGTAATCACATCTGTTCACATTAGTGAAATGCTCTTTGAGAGAATCCTCTTTCCCCATTCTTTATTCACACCTAAATCTACATGCATACTCATATATATATATATATATATATATATATATATATATATATATATATATATATATATATATATATATATATATATATATATATATATATATATATATATATATATATATATATATATATATATATATATATATATATATATATATATATATATATATATATATATATATATATATATATATATATATATATATATATATATATATATATACACATTAATGTTTATATGAAGCGTTGGGAATGGAGAGGCGAAATCGCTACCTTAACAGAAATGAGATTCTTTCACCCCTGTTTCTATGAAATTTGCTGTGTGTGTGCGTGTGTGTGTGTGTGTGTGTGCATATATATATATATATATATATATATATATATATATATATATATATATATATATATATTTATATATTTATATATATATATATGTGTATATATATATATATTTATATATATGTACATATATATACATATGCATACACAAACACACACACACACACACGCACGCGCACACACACACACACACACACACACACACACACACACACACACACACACACACACACACACACGCACACACACACACTCACACGCACACACACACACATATATAAAGGCAGCTTCGATTATCCAATGAGCAATTCCGCAATCAAGTCATTAGAAGCAAAGCATATGTCACAAGATAAGCTGTAATGTTAATTTGCATTCATTGAAGTGTGTGGCCACTTTCTAACTTTACCGATATGAAATGAAATGGTCGAAGTTATAAGTTAATAATTGGACGTAGTTAAAAAAGTCCTTTTGAATGACACCGGGGTGCGACAGCGTAATCATATAGCTATTACGCTGCAAATACAAACACAGCGAAGCGGAATTGTGTACAAGACCTGAAGCAACAGTGGTTAATAAATTTGTGTAAGTGTATACAACTTGAGGTAGTTTTTCTTTTTATTCAGCCATCTCCTACACACACACACACACACACACACACACACACACACACATATATATATATATATATATATATATATATATATATATATATATATATATATATATATATATATATATATTATATATTATATATATATATATATATATATATACATATATATATATATATATATATATATATATATATATATATATATACATATATATATATGTCAGGGTAGAGACTGCAATCGGGTAGAATCAGAGATTCTACCAGTAGAGACTCCGATCGGAGTTTCTACCAGTCGAGTCTCCGATTGCAGTTTCTACTGGTAGAATCTCAGATTCTACCCGTAGAGACGCCGATCAGAGTTTCTATTGGTTGAGTCTCTGATTCTGTATTGTATTGTATTGTATTGTATTGTAGACTTTTATTTTGCATAAAAAAAATGAACAAAATCACATTGACTATCTGATAAATCAATTTAGTTGTCTTTTAATACAATACTACAGAGGACTAGTATGCAGTGCAAATTTAGCTAGACATTGATCATCAAATAAAAATGGTTAAATCAATTTAGTTGTCTTTTAATACAATACTACAGAGGACTAGTATGCAGTGCAAATTTAGCTAGACATTGATCATCAAATAAAAATGGTTATTTGGATTAGAGACTCTACCAGTAGAAACTCTGATTGGAATCTCTACTGGTAGAATCTCAAATTCTACCAGTAGAGACTGCAATCGGAGACTCTACTGGTAGAAACTCCGATCGGAGTCTCTACTGGTAGAATCTCTGACTGTACCAGATTCCAGTCTCTACCCTGACATATATATATATTGCACACACACACAATACACAAATATAGGTGTCTGCGTGTTGCATGCATATATACATGAATAAATGAATAAATAAATCGTCGAATATGATTATGTACATATATATATATATATATATATATATATATATATATATATATATATATATATATATATATATATATATATATATATGAGCTCGAATCAACTGTGAATGAGTACTGGTATGCTTACGTCATCTTCCTGGAGCCAAAGTCGGGGCAGAGAGCAAATGGCCAACTTTGACTTTAGAAATATATATATATATATATATATATATATATATATATATATATATATATATATATATATATATATATATATACATAGTTAGCTTCATACACATGAATACATATTGTGATATGTGTATGTACAGCTGTTCGGTCCCACTATTGTACATGTGGCAGCCACTTCGATGTAAACATAGTGTAAATAGTATTTGTATGGATGAGGCGAAAACCCTAGGTTGTTTGAACAAAGAGTGAGACTGGGAATATAAATGACCAACAAGTGTATTAGTATTGTGGAGGTTCTTCAAACCTCGCTTCGGTGTCACAGCAGAATCCAGATTAGGTGTCCAGATGATCTCCGTTTCCCCTGCGTGGAACATAATTTTTTACCGTTTTTAACCCCTGCTCACTTTTAGTTTTCCGTGTTTTATTGGGGCTTTTTAGGTAATGATTGATATCTTTTATTGTTTGAGTTCTTAAAGTTTGCCTCAGTAATATTTTATTTAGTGTTTTTAATTATTTTAATCCTCATTTGGTCTTTCTTAGATTAAGATGTATTTTACGCATTCTTATTTTAGCTTTTTCTTCAATTTATAGATGATTATGACGGGGTTTGTCCTTTTTATATTGTAAACTTGTTTTTTTTTATTATATATATTTGTATTTTGATTTTATGATTTTACCGTGTAAATGTTTTTATTTATGTTTTACGTTAGTGACATCGTCTTTTTAGCTTTTTGGCGATGTCAATGACGTCAGTACTTTTAAAGAAGCTTTATCTTTCAATGATTTTAATTATTTGTCTTAGCCCGTTTACTTTTTTATCATTCTCATTTATTTTTATATATTTTATGTACTTTCCGCATTTTAATTATATTTATTTATGAAAGATGAAAATGAAGGCAGTGGACCTCACCGTGTATAAATACGAAACGGCCAGAATAATAAAGAGATCTATCTGAACCTGTGTTTATGCCACCCCCTCTGGATTTACCTCAGTCTGAGTCGTCAACAGAACAAAGGTTGTACTTAGCAGACTTCCCGTTCCTTGCCTAGGTCATTTGCTGGACGTTGTCTGTTTTATTTGTGTTTGATTATGTTTTCATTGTTTTTAAGTACTTTTAGACGTATTTTACACCGAAGCCCTTCAGGATTCGGCTTTTCCCGCATCGTTTTTAACCTTCAATCTCCTTTTAAGTTTAGTATATTACTTTATAAGCATTTTTAGTAAGTTAACGCAAATTTCTTTTTCTTATTTCGTATTTTATTAAAGTAACGTGATTTTAGTATGTATTATTTTTACACTGTGTGCCTTCAGCAGTTTTATCACTTCAGTATCTTTTAATTCTTTTATTTTGTCATATTTTAAACGATAGGCTGAGCCACAAGGACTTGTTCAATATTTTCTCCGCTCAGGGTACATATCAAGCCTGCGTTATCCT